CAACAACCTCCTTGCCACTCGCCACTATCATCGTTCGTCACCACCACTTGGTTATCTATATAACCATCACTTCATTATCTTTTCCATTATCACAATTCATAGCTTTAACATAATCATTATTGTAACAACAATCACTATAATCACCATCTTATTATTAAAGTAATCATCGCTTCCATCTTTACTATTGTCACAATAACCATCATTTAACGATTATCCTATGACTATTTTCACTACAACGAACATTATCATAACTAGTACTAAAAATATTACCCCCATAACTATTATAGCTATTAATACTACGTACACTTTTATCCCCACTACCCTAAACGTTCTTATTTTATTAGTATCATTTTAAAACCACCAATAAAGAATGATTTATTTCACTAATTTTTTTTATAACAATAAAAAAAAACCTAATTTTCTAAGAAAACATTTTCCACATAAAAAGGTTTTTCTAGAAGATATTTTCAAAACAAATGGACTATTATGTGAATTCATTCTTCTTCTTTTAACTTGCACATTTAAAGCTCCTAGTAAAATTAGTTTGTTAAAATTTGAACGCATGACCTTTTGTTACAAGAGATCATTGTCACTAAATTATAAAATCTTTGGTTAATTCATTCTTCTAGATCAGTCTAAGAATTTCATAAGCTTTTGAATATGTGAAAATATCTTTCAATAGACCAAGCATGGTCTGGTATGCATCCGGACTAAATTTTACAAAGGGTTGGTTTACCCAAAACTTTTAAAGGAAAAGAAAGTCCACTCTGCATAGCTCTCTCTTAGCTAAATATGATGCTATTTCATTCTTATGTCAAGATGATTAAAAATTCATATGATGTCATATGCAGTTTCTTAGCAGCCGTTTGAGTTTGATGTGCTATATTTTTTTTTAATTTTGGTTTTCTGATTTTAGAAAACCAAAAACTGTTTGACGTTTATTATTTTTTAAAAATTGTTTCTTTTTTTAAAAAAATATACAAATAAAAAAATTAGGACACAAACTTCATTTAATAAATATAACAGTATATCACAAATTAAAAAAATACAAAATTTATTAATATTATGAAATTTAATCACGATGATTAATTAGTGGTATCATGCAAGATGATAATAGTATTGATGGTGACAACATTGTGATGATTATATGATACTAATTAAAACATAATGATAAAAGTTATAATTATATCATGAGTTTTTTTTTAATTGATCGCTTAAACAAATAAATAAACATAGCTGTACGATAAAACATGATTTTTTTCCTTGAAAAAAAAAGAAAAAAAATGAACACTAATATGAAACAACACCTTAATTTAAAAGGTTATTTTAATAATTTGATTAAAAAAAAATCAAATTTAAAGTTTCAAATATATATATGTATATATATATAGAGGCGAGGTTGTATTAGGCCTAGACGATGGGACGCCTGGCCAGACGCGAGCCACTGATTTAGGAACCCGACCAAAGCGCCTCTAAAAAGAAAGAAAGAAAGAAGCATGGGACTACGAGTTGTCCATTGTAATGACTCTGACGACCAAAGACCCATTTCTAACCTCGCCATTTAATTAATCAAAATTACTCAAAAAAATAAAATTAAATTAAAAACAAAACCCACTTATTTTATCAAACTCTGATTCTACTTATACCTACTGTGTCATGACTCATAAATACTTTCAATAAACTCCCTTGTCACGACGAATCCATTGACACCAATTTTCACTGTTTTTATGTATAAAATATAACCGGATATTGTTTTCTCTCTCCTTATGTACGGATGACATTGGGACGGGGCAGGGCAGGGCATGGATCGCAATCGCCATCCCCGCCCCGTCCTCTAAAAAAACTTCATTCCTATCCTGAGTCTTGTTTAGGATGAAATTTCGTTCTTTATCTCCGATTCAAACGGGGTAGGACAAAGCCTCGTTAAATTATTTTTTTCAAAGATAAAAAGGAGAGGCAGGGATTACCATCCCCATCTCCGCCCCACCAAAAAAAAAAAAAAATCTATCTCCATCTCGTGCTCCGTTCGAAGTAAAATTTCATGTCCCATCTACGCTCCAAATGAGATGCAACGGAGCGAATTGTCATCTCTACTCTTGTGCTCCTACTTTGGCTTAACATCTAGAGATCGTATTGAATGACAAATGAAGTTCAGAAACCATTCCGCACAAACTTTAAAAGCCAAAGACCAAAGAAAAATATATTTTCAGAGAATCACTTAAATTTTAAGAAATCATAGTCGTTTTAAGCTTAAAACATCATAAAAGACGTGATCTTGATCTTGATGAATAATATAGTACAAAATCCAACACATTGGGCAAATGAGTCTGTTCTACGTTAAAACATTATCTTCTTTTAGTTTCTTTTTTTTAATCAATCGTATTCTATATAATATTTTCAGAGGTAACATATATATGTATCAAAGAAAAAGATTACTAAGTTTAAGAATTTCAAATAACTAAAATCAGTTAAGCTTAATTGAGTATATAACAAAAAGAGTAAATTATAAATTAGTCCTACTTGTTTAGATAAACAAATTGATTAGTCTATTTCGTTTAAAAAATTAATTATTTAATTCTTATATTTTTAGTTTCATTAATAATTTTGTTCTTTTTGTCTTCTTCTTTTTTTTTTTGGTTGAGGAGAGAGAAAATAAGTAAGTAAAAAAGAAAAAAGAAAAAATTAAAAAAAAATCATTAATACAACAAACTAAAACATAAAAATCTAGATAAATAATTTTTTTTAAAAAAATTAATTGATTTATTTTTCAAAACAAGAGAGATTAATTTATAATTTAGTTATAACAAAAGTGTTTCACGCGGAGCCTTTGCCAAATTCCACACCGCTCAATCAAGTTTTTTTTCTTTGTTATATTTTCCTCATTACTACTTCGTAATGTACGGAGGAACAGCAAATAATCATCGGAATTATTCACCTTTGCCAGAACATCTGATTAAAAGCAGAGTCTTAGTAAACGTACTGGAAATGAGCATTGTTTATCAGCAAAACTAAAAAAAAAAAGAGAAAGGGGATGTGAAGTACCGTAAGAAGTAAGGAACGAACGATTCATTCGCCTGTCTTCTTTTTTTGACACAGTGACATCTATAAATGTTCTTCCTTCTCGAACAGAGAGGACAGGAACAAGCCCACCTGCAGAATGCCACGTGTAGTGACTTGATCTATTTCGTGCTAGTGACGTGTTCTATTTCTAGTCACCGAAACTTGATTGACTGACTCACTGACTTTCCTGTCTTCCTCTACTCCCTCCAGTAATCTTTGTCCTTAATTGTCGACCAAATTTATATTCATGGCAGGAATGTTATTTACTGATGAAAAAATATACCCGTGGCCGCGGGTGAAAACCTCAAATCCCATCTAGTATCTTTCTTGTTTGCTATGGTTACTTAAACACAATACAATTGTAGGATCTTGAAATTCACGAAAAAGTATATATTCAGTAACCTCTCTCTCTCTCTCACACACACACACGCGCGCACACAGTCAATTAGATATTGGCGTATATGAATCATGTGGTGACCCATCAGCACGTAGATCCCTTAAAAAGAAAATAATAGAATCATTTAGTAGGCGCCATGAGCTTAGAGACCTCTTCGTGTGGATCTTGAGATACATGGCTCTCCTTCGAGATATTATCCGCTTTGGCCCAGAATTGGTACCATTTTGCATGCACTTTAAGGTGCGAATCACGGGGAAATTAAATTTTGCGTTGCTAATTATTATGACATTTTTTACGGTACAAGAAGTTGATGCTCATATATGCTTGGTCACACAATTACTAAAAAACACTGTATAGTCTGTATTTTTCGTATCCATTCATTTTTTAAGTGACTTTTACCATATCTATTTCACGATAAAATTAATTGGTTTGAAATACTTTTATGAATTGAACAAAGTTTAAAATATTTTAAAAGTATTCAGTAATTACTCCGGTGGTGTTTTAAAATTTTTCAAATGAAAAAGTACAACTGCTACTAGATTTGTCTTCGTACGCCAACAGTAGCCAGGGACACTTTGCTGATCTCTCCTGTCCGTATTGCAGTACTCTTTGCTCTTGCTCGAGTACTCTACCTACACTAGAAGATTTTACTGTAGACGATAAGGTGAAAAAGAACAGAACCATGAAAGCTGGGAAAAGAACTGGCAGCCCAATCGAATCCCTCAATCTTTCACCCTCGATCTCCATCTCTAATGAAATCATGGAAGTGACAAGAGAGAGAGAGGATAAATAATTTGATGGGAAAGGAGGAAGATAGGGTGTTTTCCCACGTGGGGTCTCACACGTGGCCACAGCTGCGGCGGTTGGATGTCGATACGCTGTCACTCACCGCATGTATGTTTGCTTCACGCAATCTTGCTCCCCTCTGCTTCCTACGTAGTTCCCGTGGCTTCAAAGTTTGAACCAAAAGTACATTCACTTGCTAAATTTTAATCTCTACACATTTTTCAAATAATTGCCTACATGTTTATTTTTAAAAAGTAGATATATATCTTTTTTTTTTTTTTTTTTTTGCATTTTTTATTCTACTAGAATTCTTATGAAAGCTTTTCATTAGTTTATCTTTCATAAGTACCAGGTTTATATATAAAAAAAAAAACAGAGAGAAATAAAATACTCTCGTAGTTTCTGATTTTATTCCAATACAAATTAATAATGTAGTGAGTAAACTCATTTCATATTTCATATCCAACTAATCAATGATAACTATTTAAAAAATAGAAGCATTTTCTTAAGAAAGAACAATGAACTAACCAGTCAATTCACATGAATGACCCACCACCAAAGCTTCAATAATTTCTATTTAATTTTTTCTTAAAAAAAGACAAAGTATTAGCAAACAGACAGACCTTTCTATGGTCACTAAATAAATACCTGGTCATGCCTACCGTTCCCTCTCCCTCCCTCTCTCTTCTCTGCAGTTAGACCCCACAAAGAGTGAAACTGAAACCCCAAGGAAGTGGATTATTTCTGCAGAGAGGAGATGATGATTGGTAGTGCAAATAATGGAAGTGGGCCTTGTGGTGCCTGCAAGTTCCTTAGGAGAAAGTGTGTAAAAGGGTGCATTTTTGCACCGTACTTTGATCCTGATCAAGGGACAGCTCACTTTGCAGCAGTGCATAAAGTCTTTGGCGCTAGCAATGCTTCTAAGCTTCTCTTGCGCATACCTGCTCACAAGCGTGTTGATGCTGTTGTTACTCTTTGTTATGAGGCCTTGGCTAGGGTGAGAGACCCCGTTTATGGTTGTGTCGGCCACATCTTCGCTCTCCAACAACAGGTAAATATTCTTTCTTGATGATAATTGGCCAAAAATCTTTCAATTAGTATTTGAAGGTTTAGTCTTGTTAGGGTTTTCATTTTTAGCTTGCTTCCCCCTTTTCCCTTCTAAACTTGCACAAAAATGTGGTGGAAGAACAAATTGGGAGCAATTAATATATATCCAAGCGCCCATATTGTTTAGTTTAATTGTAGCTTAATATTACTACTAAATAATCTTTGGCTTTGCTATCCATTAGAGGTCTAGGAGTCATCTATCGACATAATTTGGGGTCGAAAAAGATCTTGTCGCGTAGAATTGGTTTGTGTTTTATGCTTCAATGTTATGATTAACTAAAAAGGAATTTAAATTAGAACTTTCCCTTACTTTCGTTACTTTAAATTACCTTTTTAAAGAACCTTAAATAAAAAGAACCCTAAATAAGCTGGTTCATCTTTTGGATATACTTCATTATAATAGTGTAAGTTTTGCTTTTGGTCCCGTTAATTCATATGCGGAGAGTGTAATTTCTTGTTTTTCTTTTTTTTAGCCCTTCAAATAGTACTCTCTCTCTCTCTCACTACACACACACACACACACTAAAAAACCGAAACTAGATCATCTTCATATAATTATGCAGAAGGAATTCTCAACATGGGGCAAACTGTAATTGTCACGCTTTATAAGCAATTTTCTTGAACATGACATAATCGTCGTGTAAGAGTAAGATATTGTGCAAGGCAGCCTAAATGCCTAATGATTCGTTTTGATGACTGGAACTGTAGAGGCATATCTTGACGTTGGTCGAGGTATGCTCGTCGCAAGTTCGTCGTCAAGTCACTGGTTTGGTTTGGCATATTTATACGTGAATGTGAACAATTATTGCTAATGAACCAGCTTCTTTAGGGTTCTTTTCTAGTCCCAGAAAGCACCTACGTGAAGTCAAGTCTTCTTGGTCCACTTATTAATTATAAAATTATATACCAAATAAAAAGAGAACAATAATGAGTACTAAATTCCCTAACATCTCTTTGGTTTCTTTCAAACAATTTCTCGATGTAATGAATTGAGAGAAACTCTTGCTAATTAGCTTGCATTTACTGAGTGACAATATTTATTAGTGTTTTGGGGTGTAACAAATTAATCATGGTTTTTCAACAAAATTGCGTGAAATCTATGCCAACTTGAGCTTTTAATTCAGTGTGAATGGTAAAACTCCGAGAGAGAATTGACTGAAGAAGGGATCTTGTTGCTTGCCGCAGTACAAAGCAAACTTTAGCAGGCTCGAGAAATATTCAAGTATTTGTGGTTTTGACTTTGATGTATAGTCCTAAGCTAAATCATTATTACTTGTAATCTGCCAAATATTGAAGTCTTGATGCATTTATTATGATCAAGAAATTAAGGAGGGTTAATGTTTCCTTGTAAGGAGCGATAATAGTGGGACCTAGACCCATGTGTTGGCACTAATGTAGCAAATATAGTAGCTAGAGACCGAAAGTCATTATAATCACATGGGCTATATACCTACAAGGATCATTTTGTTCATAATCAAACCTTTTTTTGTGGGTTTTGTTAGGGTTGGAAAAAAATTTCGTATATGATAACACAGTCCTTTCATGGAGCTTCTGTGATTTCTCCACTTGGGCTCGTTGGGCAGATAACCACTTAACTATATATTAGGTATTTGCTTTATAAAAATTAGGTAAAAAACCACTGCTTCGGCACGTAGTTTTTGACTGCTTTAAGCAATTTGGGAGAGTCCAAAGGTCCATTATGTTTGTAAAAGACAATTAATGCCAACCAATGATGAATTGTTCGTTAGATTTAGATGGTGTTTGATAAAATTAAAAATTAAGTGATGAATTTATTAAGTATTGAATTTAAAGTGTTGAATCTGTTAAGTAATGAATATGTTTTTGATAAGTTGTTTGTTATTTACCGAAAATTAAGTACTCGAATATAATAAGCATGTTTGAAGATGACGTAATATATATGATATTTGTTAAGATTTTAGTTTGAATATATGTATCCGATTATATTACTCTTATTGTTTAAAATTTATTTTTTTCAATTATTTTTTCTTACTAAAATTCTCATCAAATTAATTTTTGATATAATTTTATTTGTTAATAAATTTGATTTTTTAATATATAAATTTTGAAATAAAATTTTATAACGTCGATGTTTTATTTTTTAAAAATATATTATTATAATTTATATAATGAATTATTTTTATGCTTTTCAAATGAGTTTTTTATTTTTTAAAATATATTATTATAATTTATAAATCTTCGATATATATATATATATATATATATATATATATAGAGAGAGAGAGAGAGAGAGAGAGAGAGAGAGAGAGAGAGAGAGAGAGTATGTTGTAGATAGTTTGACTTAATCAGATAAGTTAAAAATTTTAACTTATCCGATGAAGTAGATTTTGACCGAATTTAAAGTTTTAATATGAGATCATTGAAGTTATCAAACAAGATTTTTATATTAAGTAATTCAATTTAATTTTTTAAGCTACTTAATTAGGTTATCAAACACCCCTTTAGTCTAACACATCATTTATAGATTAAATTAACAAATACAAGATATGTTGATAAAATATATGAAATATTTGTAGCATAAAATGAAGACTATCATATTTTATCTACGTGTTCTGTCCAACTAAATTAATGTGCTCTTAGTAGTTGGGAATATTTTCCTCACTATGTGTTTTAGAATTTTTTTTAGGAAATAGGAATGGGGAAGGAATTATGAAAATAAAAGGAGGGGAGGGTGGAAATTTTTCCATTGTTTTGTTAGAGGATGAGAACGAAAGTTTTGTTATTAGATCATTTTTATATCTTTCATGTAAATAAATAATAAGGATATAAGTATAACGTTGAGTTCAAAATTTTTTAAGTATTCCCTTCTCTTCTCTTCCTTTACCTAAATTTGGCCGGAAGTATCAATCTATAAAAAAAAGGAGGATGGAGTTTAAACAAAATTCCGTACCTCTCATATTAAAAAGTTTTTAAGCTAATTAGTTATGTTTCATTCCCCCTCCTTTCCTCACTTCCCTTCCATCCGCCTCCTTTCCAAACAATTATTAATTATGAATCCGAATTCTATTCGTCGAAACACGTGGAAGGTAGAAGTGTAGATTTTTTTTTCTTTTATTAAAAAAAAAAAACTGAAACTTTCACCTTTTGCGATAATCAACTAATGTAAATTTAGAATTATCACTAGCTCTTGTGAAATTGACTTTTAACTCCATAAAAAAGTCACTTTGACCTAATTCCTACGTCTGTTTGTCGTCATATTAGCAGCTGATCTTTGTGATTCTTATCGTTTTCCTTTTTTACGTTCCATGGTTGCAACAGCTCCAACAGCATCTTATGTATTTCACCTACTCTCCAAAATATATATATATATATATATATATATATATATAAGGAAAAAAGAAAAGGGAGTTCCCTTCTTTTTTATGCACGGTCCATTTCAATAACACCAACGATTACAAGTTCAAATTTGGATGCTACTTAAAATATAACTGGGATTCTGTTGAGAATTTATTTTGTGACTATAGGTAGTGAATTTGCAAGCAGAGCTGGCCTGCATTGAAGCCCACCTTTCAACATTGCAGCATCTCCCTCTAACTCAGCCACCACCTGAGTGTGTTCGAAGCCCCTCTCAAACAAGTCTGAATTCATGCTCAGAAGTACCATCGTTCTCAAAACTAGCTTCGGATTCTAACATGTCAACGCATTTTGATCAGTTACAAGTACAACCGCAACAAACGTCAGCAGAATTGACAGCTTTCTATAATCCACCTGAGCAGGAAGTTGACAATGAGGATCTCCATGAATTGGCACGAGAGTTTGTGTCTAGATGCTTGCCAGGAGTCAGATATAAGCCTCCAAACTCCCCTCAGAATCTCTAGGATTCAATTAGACTGGTTTCTGTTGCTTTTCCAGTGTTGTTAACTCAGTTTACATGTGTCACAATCGAATGAAAATTGTACTACTGCTTCATTTCTCCACTTTTAATGTTTCTTTCACTTCAGTAAGCCCGTGATCTAGTCTTTGGGAAAATCCAACTTGTTAGAATCGATGTACAAGCACATGAATCCCAGACCAGGCCCAGTTTCAGGCCTGGATGAGTTATGGTCATCTCCTTTTTAACATCCATCCATCCAAAGATTAACCATAGGTGTGCAGGCAGCACGGGAGACTTTAGAATTCTTTTGCTCTCTTTTTTTTTTTTTCGTTTCTTTCAAGTTTTTAACGCATTCCAGCAAAAAGAATCCTTCCCATAAGAAGGAATTTGGACCTCTCGTGCTGGAAGTTCGAAGTATGACCGGCTCTTTAGCTTTAAACCACAATTAAGAACGAGAACCATAAATAGCTTCTGCAGTCTCCGATGGGTACTGCGCGGATCTTTGAGCAGGGCAGTTATCTATTCATCATGGCTATTGGCTACTTCCATTTGTTTGCTAAAGGTTCGTTGCGGCAAATGCTCCCAACTAGTGTAGGAATTCTACACCCAAAAATCAACGAGGACACGGCTTTTTGCAGCTACAGACAGGTCAACCAGGCTAAAATTTTTCCATTAACAGCTGCTAACCGATCTCACATGGCTTTTATTCGTTACCTGTTGGCAAGCAACTCTTTTGCTCTTTATTAAACAAGAACGCCCGACATTGTAAATAGCGGGGGTCAATTATGGTCGAAATAACAGGCATCAATATATTGGTATTTTCACATTAAAAGCACAACCAGCCACACTGGGAAATGATGGCATATTACCTTCTGAAGAATCCTTTTAACAATGACCCGGAACAACTCCAATCATCACATTTCTGTAGGCAATACAACCCATAATCCGCTGTATCAAATATTTAAAAATTTTAGCATCAACACATCATGTAAATAATGTTCCACTAAAGCACTCAACCAGCTGCAACTGAAAATGGCACCATGGCATGCTAGTATGGGATGCATAAGAAGTCCGTGATAAATATTGCAAGTCCAATGTACTCTTATTTTGTTGGTTAATTCATTAAAGCAACAAGGCATGGAATCAAGGAACTATATCGCATGCGAAGGAATAATTATTAAGAACACAAAGTATCATCTGAAATTCAATTGAATGGGATTCCTATTAGAATTGGACCTTTACTGCATTGTCGTCAGCAAATCACATATGGATAAACCCTTGATTATGACGTATGATTGGCAAGTTAATGTTTCATAAATATTGTCCAAAACATATTAAATATGGCCTTCAATATAACTTGCAGGACAACTGAGCATGTGAAAGAACTTGATTCTAGTTCCCAGCCATGCTTTCACATAGCTTGCAGTCAAGAAAAGTAAACATTGTCAAATCAAATATAGTTGTGGCTCACAATCCACCATGATTCCAATTTTAAGCCCCAAAGACTAGTATGTTCAGGCTCCAAAGAACCTTGAACGCCATAATATATGGTCACAAAATCCTTCATCCAACAATTGGGAGATGGCGAAGATAATAACAAGAAAAAGCACAAGTTCAGAAAAGAGAGATCCATTTTAGATACTAGAGTTGGACCTCTAAGATAAGGATAGAGAACAGGAACCAGAAAGTAAGGTGGAAGCAAAGTTAAGGGAGAAGTAAAGCATAATAACACAACACTATATGAAACTGTTCCAATAATACTCATCTTTTCCGAATTTTAAAACCTAGAAACTCACATGTTAGGGTGAAAGTTGGAATAGTCTAAAGAAAAAACACAAATATTTTTGTTCGAGGATTTGGATCCTACTCTGTATTTTCTTATTGCATACCTTCTTTGACCTTCAAAGCAAATACCGTTTCATGGTTTCCATGGTGCTTCCAAATAGACTTTTTTCAGGCCTAGCAAGAACAGATATTATAAGGCTGTGCATCAGCAATGAAACTTGAAACAAAACAAACAATTAGTTTAAAAAAAAAAGAAGAAGAAGAAGAAGAAGAAGATTAAATAATATCCAAATAAGTTTATTCAAATGACAAACAATGTACTGTAGAGTTAAAAGCCAATAGAATATGATGAATAATGAACCATTAAGTCAGTATGTGACGTGTATAACTGAAGAATGTCTTGATTTGTGAGTGTAGGAACCAGGGTAGCAAGAACTTGTATAGCCACGGAAAAAAAATAGATAAGAGAAGTAAAATTTTGACCATGGAACCAGTTTATATCAAGAAGCATAAATAGAACAATGGGCATACTTGTCTACCATAAGACTATAAATTTCTTAAACAAGGTCACAGCCTTAAGTTGCAAACCCTTTCAGCTTGCCATAAGAAATTGTGCCATGTAATTTCCAAAAGCACCCCTGGCAGAGCAGAGTTTCTAGATAAACATGTCATAACTATTTATCCCCGAAAGCCATGAACAAAAGAAAATCAACAAGAAATTTGTGTGCATAACAGCTACTTTAGTAGCAAGGATATGGCAAGACAGAAGCCTTCCTGGAACAGGACAACCAAGGCAGACCTGGATACATGTGATACATAGTTAGAATTTAGTATTTGGGACCCTTCAAGATTTAATAATGGCATAACAGTTCTCACCTCCATAAGCTATTCACATAGCCATGCAATCTAGGCCAAAAAAATTCTCCTAAAGGAAAAATGAGAGCAAGCCCAAGCTCAGGTTGTTGCTCCTGATTCATAAGCATCAATGCAGTACTGAAGATTGAAAGACTTATGCACAACTTAAAGATAATGGCTTTCTGGAAAGACCTAAGGGCAGGCATTTTAGCTGTCACGTATCATGATCTGAACCTTTAGACAAAACCATACAAGAAAAACCAGAGAGGAAATGAGCACCTACAAGAACAACTGATCAGTGACCTGAATAGTGAATACGTCATGTTCCTATTTAACATCATCGATGCAAAATTTAGCAAGAAAATCCCACTCTTTCTTTTGATCGAACAAGCTAAAAAGTTTCAAGACAAAACAACAATAAATGATTTCCAGATCCAAAATAAATAAAAGATATAAGCAAAAGGAATCAATGATACATATGATGCTCGTAAATTGAGTTGAATTTCATGTGCCAAAACAAGACAAGGTAACAGTACAGAGTTTCAGTCTCCATAAACTCATAAATAGCTCGTGCTAATATTTCTGGTCATTGAACCTCCAAGTGCAAAAATATTATGCAACAGAGAATGTAGACGTTGCACATGTGTGAAAAAATATTCCAGAAAGCATTATGCATAATTGAAAAATTCTTCACAATTGGTAAAATGCTGTGTCATGTATGGAGAACAAAATTTCGTTGTCTCATCAGAAACTTTTAATTGCGAACCTCAAAGAGCCAACTCACAATAAATGCCGAAAGAAATCACAATCTAACACTAGCTTGAGATTAAGAAAAGGAATAGCACCAACACAAATATGAATTTAGAAAGATCGAAAGATGTAGCCTTGACTCCTACTCTCTAGGTAATTACAACATGTTTCGCTAAAGTGGTAAAAGGAGCTAACACCACCAAGATTAAGAAATTTCCAAAAGTTTAGCAAACCAACTAAGATTTGTTTTTGATCTTTTTCCTTTCAGTTAAAAGGACAAATAAGCAGACAAAGAAGGAAAGAAAGATACCCTCTGAAAAGCAAACCACAAATATACTTCGTGCAGTGATGCAAGAAGACCGTATATCGAATTTCCATACAGACAAGCTAAGGGGCATCACCTTTTTGCTCAATTCGCAAAAGGTGTCTGGTTCAACTTCATCAACAATCTCACACAGGTAGGGTCCAGCAAGAAACCATATGCTCATGAGCAGATAGGATTAGTAGACTTCTGTGCACATGATACATAGTTGAATTTTCACTGTTAAAGGTGTACGGATCCAATTAACCTTTTCACTTAATAGCCATACAGGTCTCCAAGACCTAAAAGTGCATACAGGTTGCTAAAGGTGCATGAATAATCCACGTCCATGAAAGGAGCTTTACATTAAGGCAGAAAGTTATGTAATAATTGCTGTCACATGCAAAGCCTAGATTGACCATGACATAGCAAATTACCAGAATGAGAGAGAATCTATGCACCTCCAGAAATTTTGTTCCAGGAGCATCACAACTTATGACAACCGCAACTGCTAAGATAATAAACAAGCCAGCAAACAGCTTTAATTGCTAGTTATTTAATTCAGAGAAGTAAACATTTAAAGCTAATGTTTCGGAGCTTTTCATCAAAGAATAGGATATAGACACCTGAACCGAGAGGGAGAGGAGAGAGAACAAGAGAACAAGCCTCAGTGTATAACATCAAGCAATAATATTAGAAAGAAATATTGGATGTATAATACATAAACATTCTCAAGAAATTACATACAAGGATTATGAACAGATCACAGATACGCGTTACTGAAGGAACCAGCTGAAAATTAAGGCCCAGAAAGTGGTTAACAAATAGTTATAAAAAAGGTATGTGCAGATTGACCCAGTTGGCCATAATTTACAGTACAACACACAGCAAAGATACCTAGATGCATGTGAGAAGCTCCAATCTTCATTATACATAAATGTACAGCCCACTTCCAGAGGCCAGAATGGACAGTGGGCATGATTTAATCTCAATCACTATGTTAGAGTAGGTTAACCTCTTGAGGAATCTAAACAATTTCCCCATGTCTGAATTCACTGTCCCCACAATCTGCACTGCTGTCTAACCCACAAGGTGAATCATACCATTTAGGATTCTCTTGATAGAAACTATCAACCTGTATAAGACCTACATCCGTTGCTATACCCTCATCATGTCTCATGGGCTTGGTTAGTTTAGTATCTTCACAGTCAAGAATGCTCTTTTCATCAAAATCACTGCACTTCAACCACTTTTCAGGCTTACAAGGCTCACTCAACAAGTCCTTCTCACTCCTACACTCTGTCCTCATCTGGTCCCAGGGAACAACATCCCCAAGTGTCCGCTCAAAACTATCTTCATCATCTTCAATCAATTCTGCCTCCTTGCCATTCCCATATATCCGTTCATGATGATCAGTCCAGTGCGCCAGATCATTCTCCCCCACTAACACATCATCCGAATGAGACTTGTGCGAAAGCAACCCAATTGTCTTTGAACTCTCTTCCCCTATATTCCTAACTCTGTTGACAACATCAAACAATTCCTGAGCCACTGAACCCAACAATTCACTCGGGATTTTCCTCAATCGACCTTCCAATAACCCAATTTCAGCTCTCAACTCTTGCACCTGCTGCAAAACTGAAAGCCGAAATTCCCCATCATCCTTCCCCAGCAACCCAAAACCTTCACTATCCACGTCCTCACGCACCCCATAAACCATTTCTTGATCCATCATAAAACCACCTTTATGCCCAACAACCCGATGCATTATCCTCGCATTCCCATCCAGGGGCCCAGGTTCATGCCCTGAATGCACTGCATATAACTTAAACACCGCCATACCCTCTTCTTGATACACAAATGTCTTATCCTTTTCGTTATAATTTGTAATCGGAACAATCGCCCTAATCCTAAACCCACATCCACACCTCTTTGATGCATAAGGCTCCCTTTTCAACATCCTTGACTTCTTCGCAACTGGCTCTCCCGCCCTATGGCATGCATAATCCTTAACTTCTGCCATAAACGGTTTATACCTAATATACTTCTGTCTAATACAAAGTACAACCTTATGTTTCGCTGCTAATTGCTGTAACTTTGTTGGAACTTCCTTCGCCGGCACATCAAATGACTCTGTATACTCAAAACGCCGACGTTTATTCCGCGAATTAGAACCTTCACTCGCTGAACAAACAGAACAGGCAGCCACACAAACCCTAATAAAACTCTCCGGAATTCCATAGAACTTAGCACCTACAGTCCAAACTTGTTTAATTCTCTCTATTGTTTCTCTTAACCCTAAATGTTTTAAATCGGCGTCGCCGTGGAAACTCGTAACAATATCTTGCCATTGATCAATATGAGAAACAAATTGCTGTGAATTATTTTTAAAACAAAGAAATTCGTTACCAGATGTAGGGTCCACGTGAATCGTTAACTTCTCCTGAATCCGTTTCCATCCGGTTATGTAAGCGGTGTCTTCATTCCGATCTTTCCAGACATTTCGCCACGATTTTAACACCGTGCACGGCGTAGCCGTCCGGATCTCGTCGGGAGTGGCGAGGCGGTGCTCGAGTATGCAACGGATCATAAGAGTGTGAGATTCAGCATTGAATGTGTAGAACTGTGCGGATATGTGTGGCTCAGGGTTAATAAAAGCAGGCGCGTGAGGGTTGTGGTTACGGTTGGAGTTGTTGTGGAGGTCGTTTTGGCGGCGGTGGTGATGATGACTCAGTGAGTCGTCGTTGTCGGAGGAGGACTGACTCGGTGAGTTATCGGGTGAGGAAGGGGACCGGAAGAGGACGATTCCGGGGAGAGAAAGGTCGTCTTGATGAATGGACGGTTGTGATTGAGTTTGAGGAGCTGGTATGATGATCTGATGATGATGAGGAGGAGGAGGAGGAGGAAGTGATGTTACCAGGTCATGGTGATTGTGGTGGTTATGGAAGAGATCAGTTTCTTGTTTGTGAGGAGGATTCATGTTTGGAGAGAGAGTGAAGACGAGTGAGTGAGAAATGAAAAGAGAGGGTTTCCAAGTAACTTCCTAAACAGGAGTTTGTTCTTGTTCTTGTTGTTTTTTCATTGCCTATCTTCTGACATTTTGGAACTCTGGAATTTCAAGGGTTTTTTTTTTTCTTTGCTGCTTTAAATTAGTTTATCAAAGACTTTAAAAAAAAAAAAAAAAAAGTCCAACCTCGCTTTGCTTTTTTCTCTCTCTCTCTCTCTCTCAACATATTTTATGTTCTTTCCTTATTTTTTCTAGTTTCATTTTGTCTTATTTTTTTTTTTTTTAGTTTGTCCTAGCTTGCCTTCCTTCTTGCTCTTTCTGGTCAGCTCTATTTTCATTAGACATTATTCGTAAATTTTAATGATTTTTTATGCTACATGAAGCAGGATAAAACTCCATATATGATATCTATCAGTCAGTCTTGTTTTATTTAGTTCCGTCGGATTTAATTATGTTTCATCTCATCTGCTCGTTGGAAACAATTACTGCTGTAATCTTCATTAGGCATTATTGAATTGCACGTAATCTTTATTCTAATTGCAGCAAATAGCCAAATACAGTGACTGCATCCGAAGAAGTGGAGTGAAAAAAAACAGAAGAATAAATACAATGGTGCAATTATTCTTAAAAATCGGAAAGGTTACTAATTAAATTAAATGTTCACAGGTGGGTAGTATAGCCGGTGGTTTTACATTTTTCTTTCACTATTGGTTCCAGTAGTTTGTTTATTGTTACTACTTGACAGGAACCTGTCGATCGATCTATTGCTCTTATTAGAAGTGAGCTCGCATGAAATATTGAATCAGGAGGCAACTGGGGCTTCGCCTAAAAAATTATTGAAAGGAACCTTGTCATCTAGGTCATTGCTCCAATTTGCAGAGACAGTTCATATCCAATCTTTGACAAAGCTTTTTGCTGACAGGATGTATATATTTGGGACACGTAGGACATAGCAGTACAATGGGCCTTCTCTCTTAAAACTCTTCTTAAGTTGGTTGTTTAAGATGCTCAGATATATTTTTGTACAAATTATGGTTGCATTATTCTTTTCTGTTTTTCAGTGGTTTAGGATATTCTTGGGTGAGTTATGTGCTTAGTTCAAGGCTAATTTGTTTGGCTGCCAAGTCCCAAATCCAGGTTTTTGGATTTACAATATATATATATATATATATATATATATCTTTCTTAAGATCTCTCTTTTAGTTTGAATCCAGAACAATTAGATTAGAACAAACTGAATTGTCTTAATGAATGTTGAAATTATTCTACCAAGTAATAGTTTTCGACTTCTATTTTCTACGAGTCAACTTAAACAATGTTTTCGATGAGATCACCTTGTTTTTTTGTTCAAAACATATGTATTTTGACCTTAGGATGGATAATAGGTCGGGTTTTGGCATTTTCATACTCGATATCAAAAATCCAAATCTATTATCATCTTTCCCCGAGCCATGTTGGGACATGTCGGGGCTGGATGTCACAACCTTTTGGATTTGGAATCTTTGAATACCTAAATATCCATTGCATTCTGTTTATAAAAACTTGATATACATAGCGCTATGATTGTTGCAAAAATTTTCAGAAAATCATGCTGAAAATTTATATTTATATTTTTATCAATTAAAATTCAACTATTGTTATAAAAAAATTCCATAAAGAAGCATTATAATTATATTTTTATTTTTATCAATCTTCTAATTATATAAAAAGAAATTCACATATTAAATGATTAAAGTTTCAAAATCCAATTTATACGCAACAACAACGTCAAAACCTATTTATACACTACAGTTATTAAAAAAAAAAAAAGGCATACACAAGGAGGAGACAAGAAGAGATGAAAGATTAGGCATCTAGGTTAATTGCCACCTAATATAAAAGACCAACTAAATTCCTTCGCTCAAAAGCCACTTGGTGAAAGTTAAACATAACCTTTTACAATGAATTTGACTTCTCTTACAAGTCACAGTCACGTTGTTGAACCTAAATTATTGAACTCAAACCTATCCTTATGCTTCATGTTAAAATCAAATAATTAAAGATTTTATTAGGAAAATGTTATATACAAAAATAAATCGTACTAAAACTTCGTACAAATATATGTGGTAAGTGATGAATTGAAAATTATAAATCTAACTTGGGGAGTGTATTTTGTAACTTTGAACATAATTATATACTTTCTTTGTAATACTTATCTAATTGTAAAAGATTTCTTATTGATTGTTATCTTTTTTTAATTAGACAAGGGGGATTAATAAAAGCTCTAGGATTCTGTCTTTATGTTATTTTTCTTATTTTTTATTATTAAGCTTTTTAGTTTTCTATTTAAAGAGTTGTAATAGCCTGTTATCAAAAGACTTTGATTAATTAAAAACGAGTTTTGTGAGTTTTTTCTACGATTTTGTTGTGTTTTTCTTTTTAGAGTTTTTGAGTACGAACAATTCCATCATCCATCATTATTTGCCGCATCAATAGATGTCAAATAGAAATTGACACGATTGATGGATAAAATAACAGTAACCATTACAGTGACACACATCAAGGCACACCAACCATTTGGGGCACCGTGTTAGTCCAGAAAGTGGCGTTGATACATCTAGAGCAAAGAAAATATCATCATTTTGAGTGACTATGCAGGAGTTTCCCAAAAATTTGAAAAAGTTTCCATGCATTGATGTCAGATGCCAACATGTACGAATGTACCATAATTATAATAAGTCTCACATTAGCAAATGAGCTCGCAGTAGCCTATTTGTAGTCTTGCTTTTGAAGAAATTTCAATTAAAAATGGGTAAATATGACACATTTAACTATGAATCCAATAAATTTCAATTGAAAATTATAATACGGGTAAGTATGACACATTTAACTATGAGTCTAACAAGTTTTGATTTTAATGGGGATTTGAGTGTTGAGGAATTTATCAACTAGCTTGTTGATTGTGATAGAATAATAAAATATGCAAGATTGTCGTGGAATGAGATGATGTAATTAGGTGAGATTAGATTGAAGGGAATAACTTCTTTGTGGTCGAAACCTGTCTAGAATACCTCCATGTCAAAGGGTAGGGTGTACGTAAAGACTTGGTATGGTACAGTAAAAGAATGGTCTAGATTATGGGCTAAAAAAGGTGAAACGTAAGCACATCACTCGAGGTAAATTACCATCTAAAGGATAAAAGGAAACGAGAGAAGACAGGAGTAACCGACATGTATTGCTAACCATATTTATATACTCCCACAACTCGAGGTTCAAAAAAAGATGATTGGTGAAGGCCATGATTTTGAAGCAGGTAAAAGGGCGGTCCATCAAGTTACAACGGAAAATTTTAATGGCAACACCAATGAGCCAAATGTGAAGGTCACTGATACAAATAATTTTACCAAATTAAGATGTGGAGAATATTGAACTTAACAATGATACCTTTACAAATTCTTTTGAATGCAATAAAGATACAATAATGATCTCATTAGCTTTCAATTTAATGCTGAAGTTATTACACGAAGTGTATAGTTTAGAGAACAACAAAGAAGCAAATAATATTGATTGTCTTGGACCTGAGGAGTATGATCCATGCAAGGATGTCCACATGAATTACGTCATCTCTCAAATGGAAACAGAGACATTAGTGATAAGGCATTTTGTGTACAAATTGGGATGCCAGCTGCATTCGAAGGATTTGCTTGTCTGGGATGGAAGAGTTCAAATTTTAACAATGCACTCCAGAGCGAGTTTTTCTCGAGTGGGAGAGCTTGATGCCAGGCGCGTATTTTGTAATTTTAGACATAATTATTTTTATTGTAATAGTTATTTAGTCATTAAAGATTTTATAGAATTTGTTACTTTTTTTTAATAAAACAAGTGATTAATTGGAAAATTAGTAATGGTTCTAGGATTTTTTATTTATTTTTTTATATTAATGGAATTTTCTAGTTTTCTATTAGAAGGGTTTGTAATAGTCTTTTTGCAGAAGACTTTGATGAATCAAACTTAAATTTTGTCGGTTTTTCATGCAGCTTTGCCTTTTTTTTTTTTCCTGTTTTTTTTTTAGGAGAGACTTTTTGAGTACGAACAAGCTCCATTACCCATCGCTATCCGCTGAATCCCATGAATATTGAACATGAAAAAAGTAATGGACACGTCAGTTTGTATGAAAATTTTATTTGCATAACGTGTTTTATTTTATTAGGGGAATAGTTATATATGAATCACATATGAAAGAAAAACCTAATAATTGATTTGAATTTTATTAACATGATTAATCATGTCAAGGGAGATATTGATCATTTTGAGTCAACATTAAATCTTCTAAATAATCTTTTTTTTTGTCTTCGTGTTTTATTAGCAAGGATGAGATTAGGTTAGCTTTTGTGTATAAAAAAGTTTTTTTATTAAATTTTAAATAGATTATCCACACTCATATTAATTTATATAAAAATAATTATTTTCTTACAATTTTTCCGAGTATTCAAACCTTATAGGAAAATAGCGTGGGGCATTTTAAACAACTCGTGATTTTAAGAGCCTACAATTTATGTAAAGGATACATCTTCGAACAATTGACATCTCCTTAGCATCAAACTTTTTATCTATCTTTAAATATACATAGAGAATTAGAAAGTCGTGTCTTGAATATGGTTGACAATGGAAACCAAAATTAATGTTTAATTGTTTGAACCAAATCAAATAGTTAAGATTTTATTTTTTTTGGTTAAAAATGATAATGGTTTGGTCATGGTTAATAATCGAAGGATTGTTTTTGGTTATAGTAATCATGATAGTTGAACCATAATTGAATTGAATAATAATATGAGTTAATATCCTCACATGTTCTTATATAATAAGTCATATTTTCAATCTGTCCATAAAAAAAAAAAAAATCATCTTCGATATGTCTTTATAATTTGTGTTGGTTTCTAATCAATCATTCTAGCTAAATTTTCTATCAATTGATCAAGATTTAAACATGTGTT